AAAATAACACAATATTTTTTATCTGGGCTCCATTAAACCCACAATACAGACACTTTAAAACCATGCGTTGTTTTAAGTCCAATAAAAACTCATTTACCGAAGTACAGACCAATTAATTAAGTCGCTGTTTATTAGCCGAACACTGTTGCCGTCGAGGGTAAGAAACGCAACCCCTGTGCAACAAAACAAACGCGAATCAATTAAACTCGGTTCGTTTCGTGAACTTTTCAGCGTTTGAGCGCGCCGGGGAGTGTTTCAGTTTCAGTTTCAGCCGTCCGAAAGGACACCTGTTGCGTTGCCGATTGCGGGGTTTCGTTTCAGGAGCGGTCCTGAAATCGAATTAGCCTTATTGTGTGCGGATTTATTGTTTGGACTTTTTTCTGCAGCGGTCGTTTGGTCACAAAGTCGGGGACGGTTAATTGGATAAATTGTTTAGCAACAAGATTTCAGGTTTCAGGGCTTTTAGAAAATTAATATGATGAAAGCTAACAAAATAAAGGATTAGCTGGTCATATTTATTCAAGAAATGCGAATTGAACATTTACGTTAAAGTTTAGTTAAAAAACTCCAATATTTCCTGTCATCAATTTTACCGCAGATTTAAAAAAAAATTGTCTACAATAAAATAAGATAAATACAATTTAAAATCTCAAATATTTCTAAAATATAATTAAATATAATTATATTAAAATGAAATAACACTAGACATACAAAAAAGGGACAATTTAAGGATCAAAATAATTGTTATTATAAGAAGAAAATATTTCGAGAAGGTATATCTACAATCTAAACAGTAAAATAGTCAATAAATGTATGATAACAATATTAGGATTTGTAAAACATTCAAAAATTACCCAAATAGTTTTTAGTCAAATTTGATTGATAAACTATAAAACTGAAGTTATAACAATGGTACATTAAAGAACTAATGTCATAAGACGTCATTTTGTCGCACGCGGACAATTTAATGGACCAGTGCGACAAAAGGTCTTATGACATGAGTTCTTTATGCTATGTAATCTATTTTGCAAACATTCTATAAAAAAAATTAACGTTATACCTTAAATTTAATTTGGTGGAATTTTACTTTAGATAGTCATTGGTTTGACAGTTAATGTCAAAATCGATTCGCCATGCCGTCCTTAATTTACTTATTTACAATTAGCGGTTGTTAATGTTAAAGAAGAAAAAAATAATTTTCTTTGGTGTTAAACAAAATTTATTGACAGAAAAGTCTCGTAAGTTCTAGAAAAATCATAAAAATATTATAACCAATATGCAAAATAGTATACTGTTTAAAGTATAGCCAACCTATAAAGTATCTCATTACAGCACCGAAAGCGGTGTTATAATGAAGTCATTATGAACGGAAAAATAGATGAAAGCATTTAAATTTCAACACGCTTAAAAACATGATTTTAAAATGTCACCTTAACATACGTAAGAACTTTAAATATTATTAAAATTAACATCGTAACCAAGTATTCTTCTACATATGGGTATATTTTTTATTTGAAAAGATACAAGGTTAAATTAGATAAAAGTTGCGTAATTACAAGTCTATTTAAAAGTTTTAAAAAAATCAGCACTTCTCAAATAATTAAAAAAACCTCAAAACCTGTCTTACAAAAAAATAGTTATAATTTTGTTATTTCTGTAAATTTTGAAAAAAAAATAATCATAATAATATTATGTAAACATTTCCATACAATTTGTGATTTTTTTCGCCTACTAGATTTTGAGTAACCACCACCATCTTTTTTTTTCCTGTAGTCGTAATATTGGATTTTTACATAGATAGAAAAAAAATCAAGAAATTTCGTGATGTATCAAACTATTTCAGTTATAGAAATAAAAGATGGTGATGGTAACTCAAAATATAGTAGCGAATAAATTGGATGACAATGTAGAATAATGTGTATGTTTACTTTTTTTCAAAATTCCCAGGAATTTTTGGTTTTGAAAGGTTTTCAGTTTTTTTCAAATATATTGAGAACCGCTGTTTTTTTTCAAATTATAAATTTTATTTTAATAGGCTTGCAACTTTTTTCTAATTTAACCAACCTTGTAGCTCCAAATAAAAAAAACATGGACGGATACTTGGTGCTAAAAATTAAACAATTTAATAAGGAATGTTAAAAAAATGTAAAATATAGAGGAAAAATGTTTTACCACGACCTAACAGTTTTTATGGTTATATGATTTCCAGTTTATTAAGTTGTGAAAAAAAATATTATTTATTAGTTAAAATGGAAAAAACCTTAAACCGATTCAAGTATTACATTTCGCCACATGACACCTTATTATAAGTAAAAAAAATCAAAAACCTACAATGTACAGTAGTATCCAAAGAGTATACAAGACAACACAAAACACACCACTACTTACATTTTCTCAGCAACCATGATCAAAAATTTTAACTTGCCCGAAAAACAAGAAGACCAACTTTGAGGTCTAGATACTTCTGGTCTAAAGTCTTAGGCGAGCACCACACGACAGAGCTCACCGAAGCTCGGGGTTAGAATGACGCAACTTAGGCATTACACTAGAATATTTGTATTTTCGCAACCCATATTACACCGTTAAAGATACGGAGCGATTCCATTGGTTGCAGGGGCGAGTGGTGGGGATGGACGTAACGGGGGCGGGATTGGTTGGCGGCGGCCAATGGCGACGGTGGCGCCAAACTGTCGCGTCGCTTAAATGTAATACATTTTTCTGGACAGGATGGGTTTAATTCGATTTGGCTTTGTACAAGAAAAAGTGCCCTTCATGCGTTTGTGAGGGTTCGTTAAGGAATTGTTAATGGATACGGGCCTTTTGCAGGAATTTTGCAACATTTGTGTTTTTGGTCTTAGGGAATATATTAATCCGGAGATTGAAGTACGTACTTAAATTTAGGTCATGGTAACCTAAAAATATTCTAAAAAACTATCTAGATTTTTACAAAAAGTTATAATAAATAACAAGCTAATTTTAGGTTTGATTTTAGCTTGTTGATAAAAATGTTACCTTAATTTTAAAAATAAATGAAAAGCCAAAATAAAAAAAAAAGTTTAAAAGGGGTAATTAAAGTACAATGATGGACATGGTTTTACGAACGACTTATCATTTCGTTAACAAAATCTAACACTGCCTTTATGAACAACTAACCTTACCTCCGGTTATCTTTATTCTAGTCATTTTGACAGGTAAAGCAAAAATGGTCACTATATAATTTTTCTATGGTCAATTTTTAGAAAAATTGACTTTTGCATTTTATTCAAAAGGTAGGTAATACAAAAAAAGTGAATTATTCTAAAAATTTCCAAATTTTTACGGATAATATCCGTACACTGATATCGAGAAAAAAGTGAATTTCCGACGCTGATTATAATCATATAACATTATGATGTAATAAATTATATAATAATAATTCCTTTTATTTTAATTCAGTAAGATATTTTTTCTACCGGGCTGCAAAAAGAACATATTTGGTGCTGTATTAACATACCTTTCGTTTTATTTGACACTTAATAAAATTATATTTTGTAATTTAACTTTAATTTATTATTTTGTAATTGAATATTTTCAATGGACTTATTTTTGCAAAAAAGACCAAACCGACAGTATATTTAACGTTTACTTTTATTTTCTTTATTCAATGTATACAATTTGGTTATTTTTTTGTTATGAAGTATATTTTTATTTAAATTAATTATAATGTTAAGATGTTTTTGCAACTTTTTTAAAATGTGTATATTTTCCAAAAAAAAAACATTTTTTCCCAAAAAAGACAATTTTTCCAAGGCCTGGAAAAAACAGGTTATCTCACAATTTTTTCGTTTTTTTGGCACTTTAAAACCCTAGTAGATGCAGTGTTACATACCCATTTTATTTGGAAAATCATTCAGAAAAAAGTTTAACACTCTGTATCTTGAAAACGAAATAAGAACTGCCACATGTTATAGAAACTTTTTTATATTATATATATGTTAAAAAACCTTCTAATTCCTCTAGCCAAAAAAATAAAACCTTAACTTTTTTTTAATACACAACTTAGGTATACCTTTTTTCAATTTTGACAAGGATTTATATGATATAACTATGGGTATATCATATAAATCCTTGTCAAAATTGAAAAAAAAATTATGATATTCTTAATTAATACTAAAAAAAGTTTGAAAATCGAAGAAAAAAATAAAATATGTTAACTTCGTTGGAGCTCGGTTAAATAAGCAAATTGGGGGCATTTTGTCTTTCGATTAAAATTGTGAAAACAGAAAAAACAATTGAACGTCCAGTTTACAAAATATTCACAAAGTAACATTGTTTTTAACGGGACACCCTGTATATATACATATTTTGAAAGACAATTTAATTAATAAAATAATAATAATAATTTGGTAAATTCAACAACCAACCATCAGAATGTTCACATTTAGGGTAGTTATGCAATTATAGTTTTTTGTTCCAAATTAAATTGTTATTGTTAAAATGTTATTTTTGTGAATATTTCGGAAAGCCAAAGTTCAATTGTTTTTCTGTTTTCAACATTTAAATCAGAAAAAAATCCATAAAATTGCAAAATTAACTAACTTAAGCTCCAATAATAACGGAATTAAAATAAAATAAATTCGAAAATAAAATAAAAAATTCAAAATTTTAATTTATATATAAAAGTTAAAAAAATAGTTCCATTTATGTAATATAAAACAAAAGGATATATCAAACTTGGTTAATTATAATTATAGGCTGGATAATGGTAAATTATCAGAATCAGATTCATATGTGATTTTGGGTGTAAAAGTATATTCATATATACGTATATGAATATAGGAATATTTTCAAAAATGTATATTCAATATTCAATATATACTTGACAAAAATTTGGTTTTATTCCAATTTCAATAAATTAAGGTCCAATTACTAATAATAAGTCACTTACATAGAAATTATTTTTTTTAACTTTTGGACAGTCAATTAATCAAAACTTTAAAAAAATAATAATAAAAACTTACTTTCTGTCTGGATTTGCAGGTATTCCTGTAAAATAAATACAAACAATATTAGTAAATATAAATCATAATTTAAAATTGGAGTAATTTATAAATAGAAATGGACATTAAGAAACCAGGTATACATAACCATAAATATATAAATGTTTTAACAAACTGTATTTTACTTATTAATGAAAAGCGACTTTCCTTTTTGCAATAAAAATCAAGCATATGTGAGATTTTAATACGGGTTCTACCCACAACAAATTTCTCATTTATTATAAAATAATATAGTTAGTTTTATTATTATAGATAATATTAACTTATTTATTTAAAATAAATTATTTTACATTAAAACATGGCAACACAGATGGCAAGACTTTAAACGTCATAAAATGACGCTTGTTAAGGAATCCAATGTTTCAATCATCATAATCACTACCTATCGAAAAGTTAATAAATGGTGAAATGTTTGCAAAATTACAAACACCGTCAAATAGTTTTCATTTTGTATCGAACATTCGAGTATCAAAAGCTACCGCAGCTTCTAAAGTAGAAAAAAAAACAAACATTTTTCTAGTTTTTATAAAAATGTGTATGTGGGACAGTAAAATATTTTATTGGTCCCCATCGTAACAAAAACTTATCTGGCCGTTCTTACGAGAATGACACGAATAATTTGGATGGGAATAATCAGGAAAGATTCATACATAATTCAGGAAAAGCTGAAATATCGCCTACTACAAAATTATCCAATATATCAGCCGTGCCAAATTATTTGGCAGCGATCAAATTCACTACCAACATCTTGTTATTGAGATTATTATTTCATAAGACAAAAGTCTACTGACTTCAAACAACAGTTTAATAGGACGTTTGCGTTTAAAAACACAATTAATTTAATAGTTTTCACTAATTTAATAAATTGGGAATTATCATATTTAAAATTTTTGTATTTTACCGAAAGTTTTGCCGAAAGTTTTGTAAAGGTAATATGCAATTGTGTAAGCATTTGGTTAATTTCAAAGGTTACAGATTATTTTGTTAATGTTTAACAAATTATTTTGTTTAAAAAGTACACGTGATTTAAGGCAGCCAACCAAAACATTTCCCACAACAATACACATAAACAAGTTCAACTAACTTCAGCGTCTGCATCTTATGTTTTTTCTTACTTTATTCTAATTCGTTACGTGTTCGCAATAACTGTCCAGAGTGTTTATAATATATTACCAGACATCTGTTATTATTGTTATTTGGATTTCTTATACCTATTGAACGAGTGTGCAAAGTATCCGAAAAAAGATGCCATCACTGGTTTTCAAACTGAAATTAGAGGATACAGTAAAGTGGGTTAAAGTTAAGAAATACATTAGTGTTGTACTGATAATAATATTGTACCAAATTTCTTTATAATTTATTGATTTCAAAATGGGGTGTTATTTAATTGTGTGTATGTTATTTTTGTGTTTATTTATGTTGACCAGTATACCTACACATGTATGTGTTAATTTTTTTGTTTAGGAAATTGATTAATAAAGCAACATTTATATCAAAATTATTTTCATTTAAGTTCCCAATTTCCAACCAATACTTTTGTTACTGGGTCTATAAAAATGTTTGTAAAAATAAGGTCCTTTTTGAAAATTACAAAAATTATGGTTGAAGTATTGACATAGTATTTTGTCAATCTACAAAATGTGTTATAATTACAAACTACTTATTTAATTAGTTAACAGATTACAGTTGGTACACTTAACATTAAGTTATTTGGGCCTGGATTAACATAAAATCTGGTTAATATTCGTAGGTATTAATAAATAATTTAACCTGATTTTTCAAAATTTAATTTTTTTGTAGATATTTCATGAAGCAAAATTCTTAGAACTCAAATATTTTTACAATAGTATTTTTACATTTAAGAGTTTATATAAGATTTTCTACAAAATTTAAATATTAAATTTTGTACTTTGAACTTTTTTTAATCTTAATTTGTGCGTTTTTGTTTAGGTTTTAAATTCTTTTTTTATTATTCTTTGAATTTTTTAAGAATGTTAAATGTTCTAAAGATATTCAACATATTAAAGGATATTTTAAAAATATATTTTTAATTAATTAATTAATTTATTAGGGGTGTCCTTATTTTAAAGCCTTTTTATTTTTTATATTTCTTTATTTTTTGTGTTTCTACCGTTTTTAAAGATTTACTAGGATTTTTTTAATGTGTAGGTATAAGCATATTATAAACACAAAAATATATATAATTATTCAATATTTTCAAAAAATTTAGTTTTAAAACGTAATCAACCAATAAGAACCATTCTTATATGTGTAATATATCAGCATATCACAAAAACAGTGTTGCCAAGTTTTTTTAAACTTAAATGATAATTCCAATCACCTCGCCACTGTTCATTATTTCAAGTGTGCTAAGCACCAGACACCGACGGCCTGTTTTGCACGTTTGGTGCACTGGACGGTAGATGTCGCTAAAAACTCCCGTCAATGTGTTGCTACCGCTGTTCCTGTAGCTTTGCTACTATAAGAACGGCAAAGGCATTTTGTTCGAGTGTGCTTTGCACCTACCCTGCACTGATGAGGACCAAAGGTTCGACACAGACTTAAAAACTACCACATTCTGTTTTTATATAATTTTTATCGTTTTACTAAAATTCACTTTTTATAATTTTTGAAATCCTTTTATAATTTGATTTTTTAATTTTTTTTCCCCATTTTTATTAATATTTTTTATAAATGAAATCCCAATGCCCATAAACTAATTTTTAACTTTTTTTTTTAATGTAGATGTAGAGTTTTAATGGGATAACTAAAAATTATCGGCCCCCCTCTAAAGCCGCTTCTGACTTTAATAAGACCTCTACATTTAAAAACCCAATTAATTCCGTCGATTGTAAAATTTTATTACTTTTTGAAAAGTACAACTTAATTCGTTGTTTTATTGTGGAAGTTTAATGTTTAAGATATGTTTAATGGCAAGTTTTGGTGGTCCCTTGGCGCCTCTTACCACTGTTAGGTATTTTTTAACCAAGTTTTACGAACTAGTTTTTATGGGGGAAGATCAATAAAATAATTATTACAAGTTTTAGAATATTTCCTTGCTTTATGCGCATCTTTAGACAATAATCTTAAAATATTAAATTTTAAAAACCCAATTCCTATTTTAAGTTTAATAATTTATTTTTTAAATGAGATGAGAAAAATAAAACAGGCATTACAAAATGAAGGTTTTTCAAATGATACCACGTTTTTTCGTATATTTTCCCTCTGCCAAACTGTTTATCCAACTTATTCTATGAAAAGAAAAGGGTAAAGATTCGGCCATTATGTCCCGGGACACAATAACAGTCCGGTAAAAAGAAAAAAAGAAACGCTAATGGAAGATATCTGTATATAATATAGAAAAACAAATCCTATTATTGTGCTCCCCTCCCTCTTCCCTTGTTAGCTAATATTGAAACTTAAGCCACCCCTGTCGAAATAACAAAGTAAATGGTTAAGTAGAAAAGTATAAAGAGCATTTTTGTTTATTTATTTTTAATAAAGTATGATTTTTTATATAGATAGTCGATTCTAATTATGTGCCCATGGGACCACAAAATGTGAAACAATGCCGTTATCCGAAAATAGCACTGTGTGATACGACTTTTAATATATCGTATACGAGCAGTTTTCGCCTTTTTCTCAGTTTAAATAGAAATTTAGTTTTGGACGGCATTTTTATTTTACTTTCAATTTATATCATAATTAACACAAATATTATCACAAGATGAAAACAAAATAAACATAGCATTGAAGGTGTGATTTTCGAATGCATGAATCATTTGGGGCTTATAAGAAAATTTTACCTACACTTTCTGCGATCCTTCCCCCTGATTAATTAAATTAAAATCTATTTTTGGGTACTATTATTCTTGAACTGATTTAGAAGAAATTTTATTAAACAAAAAATGTGGGAGGTTTTTTCCCCTACAATTTATATATACGTATATATATGTATATAGGACGAAAAGTTTAAAAAGTGGGTGGCACGATTTAAAAAAAATTAATCAAGTTGTTTACCTCGAAAAAAACACAAAATTCATACACAGTAAAATATATTTGTTAATTTTAACCAAATATTAACCAGATTTTATGTTAATCCAGGTCCTCATAACTTTATGTTAAGTTTACAACCAACTGAAATCTGTTATACAAAAAAGCTCTTTTAGTTCCACCCTTACTTCCTAAGAAGTCCCAGAAGCCAACTGAATGGCTTGAGCGGGTTAGGGATAGAAACGGACCGCGGGCTTAAAGTCCCCTCCGAAGAACTATTACACAATAGGACAAACACAAATAAACAGCCATACCCCTGGTGGAATTCGAACCCACGACCTCTCGGCTTGTAGTCAGCAGCACTAACCACTAGTCCACCGTCGGCGGACAAACATTTTATAGATTTAATAACAAAATCCTATATCGATAATTCAACCATAATTATTGTAATTTTCAAAAAGGACATTATTTTGAAATATATTTTTGTAGGCCCAGTAACAAAAGTATTGGTTGGAAATTGGGAACTTAAATGAAAAGAATTTTGATAAAAAATTTGTTTTATTAATCAATTTCCTAAACAAAAAAATTAACACATACCTACATAAATAAACACAAAAATAGCATACACACAATTAAATAACACCATTCTGAAATCAAATTTGGTACAATAAGTACTACTATACAATACTTACTGATGTATTTCGTAACTTTAACCGACTTTAATTTATACCCTAATTTCAGTTTAAAAACCAGTAATCGCATCATTTTTCGGATACTTCGCACACTCGTTAAATAAGTATAAGAAATCCAATTAACAATAATAACAGATTTCTGGTAATAAACACTCTGGACAGTTGTTACGAACACGTTACAAATTAGAATAAAGTAAGCAGAAACATAAGTTGCAGACGCTGAAGTCAGTTGAACTTGTTAATGCGTATTGTCAGTGGAAAATGTTTTAATTGACTGCCTGAAATCACGTGTACTTTTTCA